AATAATGATCTAATTGTTATAATCTTTCTTGAATCTTTCATTAATTGCAAAATAAATCACGTAATTGACGATTCTGCTTAATTATTAGTCCAACACACTGTTTACAATACATAACGCTTTATTTATATCATACACTCGTAATTTTTTTTTATGTGTATTATACTTATATCTCTGATTGATTTGAAAGTTGAAAGGTCTCCGTTGATCAACACGGCACCATTTTAGACCTGCATTTTTTTTTTTACAGGTCAATTCCACACCTGTTGGCGGTAAGATTCAGTGTAGACTTTAGCCTGATTTTTAAATTTTCTTTTTACTCTCCTTTCCCCCCTAACTTTCATAGCTTTGTGAGAGCAAGTTAATTACATAGACGCAGTACTATATTATTGCAAATAGATGGTTCTCAGGGATTGAGCCTTCATCCTGATTTCGTGAATATTAATAATCAACACGATGAAACTCTTTAGCCTTTCGCTTAGAGCGATTATCGATTTTAAACCTTTAATTTTAGAATCGTAATCTATTTAAACTGATAAATTTGGGGTTCTAAGTGATTGAAACCACGTTAAAATCAGAAAATTTTCTCAATTGGTTCAAATTTTAACTAAGCCCTTGTTTGGCCTGCATTATTTCTTCATCTTTAGAAGAAATTGTACCGTTGAGGGGGCCCCACGTGTTGATTATTTTTGACTTTCCCCTCACACAATCCTTGATTTTGGTGTTCAACGACATTATTTCTCATTTTCATTTTGGGAATAATGCTGGCTAAATAGACGCTAAATTTTTTTCTCAAACTTTCAAACTGAAATGGAGGCACTTTACTGTCAAATTATTTTTTTGCAGGAATATATTAGCATATTACACTATTTTTTAATTATTATTTTTTTCAAATTTACAAATCTAGTGGGAACACTTGACCACACCGCACCCCTTAGATATGCCAATGCTAATAGCTCACTTTCGAATATTGAAAACCCATAACCACATTACGTGAAAGGTTAGAAAACCCCGCCTTAATTTACCCCAACACATAACAAAAAAACACACAATATTTACAGTAGTTCACCCTCAATGTAAAAACTATTGTGTAGTTTTTTTTTTATTATTAAATACGAAATACTGGACATAAAATAAGTTTAAATTTTGCATGTCTGTTGTCTGAAATGACCCATTACCGTTAAGAAAAGATTATTTGAAAGAGACAGAAACAACGAAGGAAGCTTC